CTGGGAAATCAAAACAGTTTTTCAGTCAGAGCATAAACAGTAAATTGAAGCATTATGTGTAACTTCATTGAACTTTCAAAAGTAGACAATTAAACCATGCAAACGTACCAAAGCTGTCAACCATTTTGACTGGACCAGACTGGCTCGAGTCTCCGATGCCATAAAGGTTCAAAGCAGACACTCTAAAGATGTACTCGTTGCCCTTGATCAGTTTGCTGGCTACATATCTGCAGTCCATGACATTCTCGGCTAGTTTGGTCCACTGCAGGCGACTGGTCTCTCTTTTCTCGAGGATGTAGGATTTGATTGTGGCGCCTCCATCCTCTTCTGGTGGAAGCCAGGTCAGAGTACACTTCTCAGCGGAAATATTACTGGCTTCTATGGGACCTGGAGGCCCAGGTACATCTAAGACCTTGACCTTAACATGTTCTTCCTTGATTCCGAAGGGGTTGCTAGCAGTGATAGTGTACTCTCCTGTGTTCTTCCGGCTTGCATACTTGATAGCCAGAGTTGAAGAGGTGGGGCTGCTGGTGATAGTGACAATGTCGGAGGACTTGAACTCACGACCTCCCTTAGACCAGACAGCAGTTGGTGGAGGTTTGCCGAGAATCTTTGAGGCGGAGACCACGATTGTGTCTCCTGCTCTGACCGATACGCCGTCCTTGTGGTCTGGGTCGATGGTGATAGATGGAGCCTCTGCAAGAGGACAAAGTGTCAGTTGGGCATATTTTCCTATGAAATCATATTTACAACAGTGCCTTTAAAAATCTTATAATTGAACATTTAAATGCACAGTTGACCATCGCTTACCATACTCATCTTTGCAGGTCAGGGGTTCAGTGGACTCCGAAGGAACGCTGATGGCTCCAGCAGAATTCTTGGCCCTGATTCTGAACTGATACTGAGCTGCCTCAGTCAGATCAGTGACAGTATAGGCACAGCTCTGAATGTTGACATGGTTGGCTTTCATCCAAGCTTTGCCACCAGCCTCCAGTTTTTCCACCATGTAGCCAGTCAGCTTGTAGCCACCATCGTATTTGGGAGGTGTCCAAATCAGAGTGACTGTGTTCCTGGTTACATTAATCACATCAGGCTTGCCAGGAGGATCTGATGGAGCACAAAGTGGAAAAAAAGTTAAAACTCTGTCATATTAACTTAAACCTAGAAAAGGTAAAAATGAAGTGAACTTACCAATGGGATCGAGGGCAACCACGGCCTCAGTGGCCCTGCTTGCTTTTCCAATTCCAGCCCTGTTCATGGCCATCACCCTGAACTCGTACTCCAATCCTTCTATCAGTCCAGTGACTCTACACTCTTTCACTCTCAGAGGGGTCTTACAGGCCCGTTTCCACATCAGACTGTTCCTCTCCTTAAATTCAACATGATACCCTGAAGAAAATACAGATCCAGATTAATAGTTGATGTGTGGGGTATGCTCATGCTTACCAAAACATTGATAATCATCACAGTTTGTTACCAGTAATTGGGGAGCCACCGCTGTCTTTCGGATCTTCCCATGTCAGGATGGCTGACTCATGGCGGATGCTCACAATCTCTGGAGGAGCAGGAGCCTCCGGCACATCTGGGGAACACAAAAACAAAGATGGAGGTGTTACCTCAAGAAGAGCTGAAGGAAACATATATGTCAGCATTTGATAATGTGACCAAATTTGAGTCTGTAAAAACACTTCATTTCAGGATCTTGTAGTTCGTGTTGATTTCAGTTTGTAGTTAAGATTTAAGAGACATTTAAAAGTTAAAAAGTACATATTTATACAGTGGGGGAAATAAGTATTTGAGCCCTTGCTGATTTTGCAGGTTTGCCCACTTACAAAGAATGCTTATTTTTCCTCATCAGATGGTTATCAATTTTTATAAATTCATATGATGTGATTTTCTGGAATTTTCTTTGGGATTCTGTCTTTCACTGTTAGAATGTACATATGATTAAAGTTATAGATCGTTGCATTCTTTGTAAGTGGGCAAACCTGCAAAATCACCAAGGGGTCATATACTTATTTCCCCCACTTTATATATATATAGTATGTTATTAACTCATTGTATAAACCAACAATTATTTTTAGAAGCCAGAGTTTTAATGAATGATTACATTAGTGGTGGGGTACTCACTGAATGGATGCTGGGCAACGACTGGATCAGACCTCAGATACTCTCCAACCCCATACTTGTTTTCAGCGAACACCCTGAAGATGTACTCTATTCCATCGTGGAGCCGGATCACCCGCATGGTGGTCTTCTGGATGGCCGAGGCCACGGTGGCCCACTTGTTATCTGTCGTCCGCCTCTTCTCCACAATGTAGTTGGACACCTCCGCGCCCCCGTCGTCTTTGGGCGGTCCCCACTCCAGAGTGATGCCATCGGCAGTGATCTCATCCAACTTGATGGGTCCGGTGCAGATGCCAGGCTTTCCAACCACCTTCAGCGTGAACTTGCAGTCCTTAGAGCCGGCGCTGTTCTTCACGCTGATGGTGAAGGTGTCAGCGTCTCCTCTCTGGCAGTCTCTGATCAGCAGTGTGGTGACCCCCGGGGAGGCCTCCACACACATCCGCCCAGTGTCACCCAGCATCATATCGCCCTTCTTCCAGATGGCAGAGGGGAGTGGCACTCCAGAGACAGGGATGTTGATACGCGTGGTGCTGCCCTCTTTTACCACACAGCAGCCGTCTTGCAGGGCACTCAAATTGCAGTCAGGCGGTACTGAAATCCAAAGCAAATCTCCGATCAGATAAGAGTTAAAAACGATGGAAAAAAGCATAAAAAATGCAGGCAGATTAACCAGATATCTTACCAAACTGGTCCTTGGCAATGACAGTGAGCTCAGTTGGTGGTCCCTCTCCAGACTCATTGAGGGCCTTGACCCTGAATAGATACTCCTTTCCTTCTGTCAGCTCGCTGATTGTGTGCGTGGTGTTCTTGCCCTTCATGATCTGCGTCCACTTCCCCTCGCCCTCACTCTGCTCCAGGATGTAAGCAGAAATGAAGCTTCCACCGTCAGCGATGGGCCTCTTCCAGCCCAGGGCTATGGAGTCCTTGGTGGTCTTCTGGGCTTTGAAGTCCATCACAGGGCCAGGTTGCTCTGCAAGTTCAGGTGAGATTGGTTAACCCTCTAATGCCAAAGGTATCATATTTGATACATACGGTTTCTGAAATGTTTTGCGTCTGACACCTTTTGCATAATTTAATGGTAAAAACTCTGCTCAAAATCCTATTGTCCACAATCAGATACACCTGATAACAGGGGGCAGAAGACTACACAAAAAATAATCTTGACTTATCGCATAGTAATAAATTATTAATATTTTTTTCTTTATACAAGTTTTTTCTTTTTACATATTTTGTTAAAAGGCCAAATGTAGACTTAAAACCAAAAAAAGTAAGTTTCTGTTTTGTTTTATTCCTGGATCAGGCTTTAAAGGGTTAAGCTTCATTTTCTGTTACTAGTACAGCTGCTGCCCCACATTATCCTTCAGGATTTCTGGATAATAAGGATTATTGAGGAAGAGGCTACTGATTTTTCACAGAAAATAAACCTTGACAGAATGAAATGGTTGATTGCTCCTTCTCTGAGATAGAACAATCCTCTCTAACTGGAAATGAGCAAAAACAAATAAATACTCTGGAGTCAGATCCCCTCTCGATATGTGAGGAGCAAAACCGAGGTTGCTTATCTTTAACCTGCAATGTTTGAAACCACGCCACATTTTGCTTTTATGTTTTGCTACCTGAGGCCCGGACGCTGCCCGCGGTCTCACAGCCCTCCCCGATGCCGTAGGCGTTCTCAGCCAGAACTCTGAAGCAGTACGCCTGTCCTGGCTCCAGGTTGGTGATCCTGAAGGAGATCTTATGGCACTCTGCCGACACACAGGTCCAAGCCTTCCTCTCAGCTAAACGCTTCTCTACGACGTAGCTCTTGACTGGGCTGCCGCCATCGATCAGGGGGGCATCCCAGGTGATGGAGGCGTGGGTCCTGGAGGTCTCCTTCACAGTGAGGTTTTGAGGAGGTCCAGGTGAGTCTGAGAGAAGAGGAAAGAGTTTGGATTAGAATAAAAATCCCTGGCTTCTTCTATTTATGTCAGAGACAGCTGCTTATGAGGTCATGATTTCTAGGGTGCAGAAAGAGCCAAGTAAGGCTAGCCAAGCATGGGTATATTTTGACTATCATGTTGGTAAAAAATCTTAAGGGATTTGGGATGTGATGTATACTGTGAGTATGAATATGTGCAGTGCTATATCCATGAATAGGTAACTGATAAGTGCTGTCATGTTCTGTGTTGTGTTTTTGTTGTTAAATGTCATCTGTTGGTAACTGTGTTATAAAAGAAAAATGAATAAACAAACTTTAATGGGAAAAAAAATCCCTGGCTTCTTTTCACCTGTAACAATGTGTGTTTTGTTAGTTCTATGATTGTTTATTCTTACCCAGAACCTTCACCACGATGGTGTAGCTCTTGGACCCACTGCTGTTCTCCAGAGTCAGGACATATTTGCCCGCGTCGTATCGGTTAACTTCCTCAACCATCAGCAGAGTGTCCCACTCTGACGTCTTGATTAAGACGCCCTGCCTCTCCTTCAGGTTGGCGTCCACCTTTGTCCAGGTCACTTTTGGTGCTGGGCGTCCCCTCAGTGGGACATAGAGCCTCATAGTGACACCGGCCCGCAGAACCAAAGCCTTCCTCAGGTCAGCGTCCAGCTCCGCCTCAGGGGCGACTAATGGAGGTGCAGAGGTATTGTGAGAACACGTTTGATATCAGAGTATCGAGTGGACACACATGGGGTTGGTTTTGGGGGTAGGGTGATGGTTATCGTGGGTCAATTAACTCATTGGCTGCCAAAGACGTCTATAGACGTCTTTTATGTTTTTCATTGCGAGTGGCTGGGGGAACAATCGGCTAAAGTTTTTCCGTAAATATCGGCTTCTAGACAGAGTATGTAGTAACAAATTGAGCCTCTAGGGGGCAGTGCCACTTTTGATGGGAGATGAGTATAGACTGTAGGCAAATAAGAAAAAGGGAACGGTTCTATGAGAGAACATGGCGCCGGTGAGACGCACGTCGAAGAAGAACGGAATAAGGTAGAAACTATTTTTTTTTCCTGATGAAAGAAGAGAGTCTGCTCTTTCTTTTAGTGTGTTTGGTGTTTACATAGTCATAGCACAAACTATTCTGTGGCTCAGTCAAAATGCTCAAAAAACTCTGGCAGTGAGCGACTCTGTTCTGAAAATGGCTGCCAGTCAATGAGTTAATTAGTCATAGAATGGAACTGTAAACTATGGACTATTACGACATTCACAACTTAAACCTTAACAAAGCCAAATGAGTGATGTCAGATTATTTCTAAGCACAGAAAAACAGTTTGAAAACCATTTCTTTAAATTCGAAATGACTAAATGGACCAGATGCATGAAAACACGGTGCGAAGCACTGGTGGACGTACTCAGGATGTCTTTGGCCGTGTGGTTTCCAGGAACCTCGCTAGGCTCGCTGTAGCCGATCTTGTTGACGGCGAAAACTCTGAACTGGTACTCAGTGTTGTCAATCAAGCCAGTCACCACCAGTTTGGTGATCTGGAGCTTCTTTGGCACATTACACTTGCTCCAGACCTCAGAGTCAGCCCGCTTGCACTCCACCAGGTACCCGATGATCTCACAGCCCCCGTCGTATGCTGGTTTGGTCCAGCTGAGGCTGATTGAACTCTTGGTAGAGTCCACAACCTTTGGGAATGCAGGGGGACCAGGAGGATCTGAGGAATGATGGTAAGAATTATAAGTTAAACAGAATAAGTTTTATGTCCAGTGAGAGTTGCATCTCCTATCCTAACCCTAACCCGTACCTCTACCCCCCACAGCTC